AAATTGTACCGCTTCCTATACTGCCGTGCTAGGAAAGAACGTGATATGAGCGTCCAGACGTTGCCACATTTCCTTCAATAAAAAACGAATTTACTGGGAAAATTTTTAAGATTTTCCTTTGAACTTTTCAGACAGTTTTGTTCGCAGTTTAATCCAAAGGATCTGAAAATTTTAAGAAGAAATATGCATATCTTTCCTCAAAAATACAAATTTAATTGGGGGAATTTGGCGACTCTCGAAAGTTCATAGGGCGTTTTTCCTCAGCACGGTGGTGCTGGGCCGTCCCATGCCAAGTTAACCAACACGGTTGGGCTTGAGCAACTCAGAAATTGTTGAAACTGAATGCATGCGTATTCGTTTCGGTTTAAAAACACCACAAATAGTTTCTATTACTTGATACCAATTTTAAAAAAAATTTAGGCGTGCAACAGGGCAAGACAGTTTTTTGTCAATATGGACTTTCAACACAATGCACACAGATTTCTTTTCACCTACTTCCAAATTTGAGTGGTTAAATATAGGCTTTAAAATGGTGCTTGAACTCACAAAACTGTTCTCGCGTCTTGGTCCAAATTTGAAGATGAAGAAATAATTTTTTCGGAGTACAAATTTGAATGTAAATAGCTCTACAGTAAGACTGATAAATGCCAAAACATCAGGTCACGGATATTTGCCATTCTTCAGTGAGAGCTGCCAAAATTCAAACCTCTCCAAAATTCAGCACGGCATAACTTAAAAGACAACAAGTAAAAACCTGAAGTATATGGAAGTAAAAGGTTCTTAGGGTATCTACATTCAGTAAAAATCTGATCTTGAAGTATCGGACAGTCTGTTAATATTTTCTTGGCAAGCTGCTAACAGTGATACTAGATGGCCTGGTCATGAGGTCATTTCCGGTTTAAAATCTCGATTAAATCTGCAATGTACCAAAGGCTGGAGACTCGCGTGACCATAGCTAATGTCAGCCAGGATATCCTGTTTTACTCTCCGGAAAAATTTGGTGTCCGGCCGGCTCTATGCGATCAATATCCGATTTCCGGTATTTAGTTGCAACATTTACCTGGCCTATGTCCGGTATCCATCAAAATTTGTATTTGCCGGTGGCATCTATCCGAAAAGTATATGCCAGTATTAGGTCGCGCCACCCGTGGGATCGATTTACGGTTTCTAGTATGCGATCGTGTTATTCTGTGGGACCAATATCCGATTGCGGGAGTCCCGCGCCACATGTATTCAGCCACTAATCCCGAAAAGACGGCATCGGGCCATGACATTCAACCGGATCGATGTCCGGTTTCCAGCTTCTCATCGCTACATTCATAAGGCCGATTTCCGGTTTCAAGGATGCGATCGCGTCATCTGTGGAACCGATTTCAAATTTCCAGTAATTCCAGTATGCGATCGTGTCATCTGAAAGACCAATATCCGATTGCGGGAGTCCCACCACCGCATATTTTCAGCCAATTTCCGGAATCCCGAAAAAGATGTCGTCGGGCCATGACATTCAGCCGGGTCGATATCCGGTTTCTGATGTCTGATCGCGTCATCCATGGGACCAATTTCCGGTCTCCAATATGCGATCGCATCATCTGTGGAACCAATTTCCAATTTCCAGTGTCCGATCGCGTCATCCATGGGACCCATTTCCGGTTTCCAGTGGGTATGCGATCGCGTCATCTGTGGGACCAACTTCCAGTGTCGGATCGCGTCATCCATGAGACCCATTTCCGGTTATCAGTGTGCGATCGCGTCATTCGTGAGATCAATATCCGGTCGCGGGAGTCCAGCCTTCACATCTATCCTTCTAATATCCAGAATCCTGGGAAGACTGTATCGGGCCAGTATCCGGTTTCCACTGTACGATCGCGTCATCCATGGGGCCGATTTCCAGTTGGCGATCGCGTCATCTGCGAGACCGATTTCCGGTGTCCCGCCCTCATTTATGTCCTGTCAATATCCGGCATCCGTTGCCAATATGCGACATCTGCGACCGAAGCTCAACTCGTTTCTAAGATCCCTTATAGAAACAGGGCTCCTCTAGGACGCTTGCACGAACGTTTGGTTACCCGCGACCCGACCAGCACAGTTCGAGGGCGCGGATGGAGCACCCCGCACCGACAAGGCGGGCTCTAAAGTACTTAAGTACAGAGGTAGCGCAGACGGATCTCTGGATTTTGGACAGATTTTGAACCATAACCTCTTGTACCTAAGCCTCGTCTTAACGACGCCACGCCTGCCGCCAGCGGGCCGATTATTGAAATTGATAGACAAAGCTATAGGCAAAGATGACAAAAGGGGTATGGAATGATCCTATTGGTGAAAGCGGGTGGTTGGAATGGACAAACGAGCTAGGTAATAGACTAACTGATGGCAACCCACGAGAGACCCGATACTTAGTCCATCATTTTCTAGCTTAGTCTATAAGAAACACCCGTTTCCACCAATAGAATCGCTCCTTACTCCCTATGTCTTCTTTGTCTATAGCTTTGTCTATTAATTTCAATAATCAGTCCGCTGGTTTGTTGCTCGTCCCCCGCCTGGGTCCAAGGGTTTACTCCAAGGCATGGCCGTGCGTTGACTTCGCCTGAGAGCTCTAGACTCCTTATGGGCCTGGGTGCCCTTATCGGACGGTGGTCCCGAACCCAAACGACAGTGCAAAAACCGGCTCCCATTTCGCGTTGCGATAGTCAGGCGTTCGGTCATCGGGTGGGGACCCGATTACTATACTGCAGTGCGAAGGAAAAACGCCGTGTGAACATTAAAGACTTGCCAAATTTCCTCTTAGAAAATGTTTACTTCTGAAGAAACGCATGAATATTTTTCCTCGGAAATTTTGACTATTCAGATCACACCAAGACCAAAATTCTGTGAAAAATTGGAAGTTTTCCTGAAAATCTGTGATTTGTCACGGGGAATTCGGCAACGCCTGAGGGCTCATACGGCGTTTTTCCTTAGCGCGGAAGTGTGCGAGACCCCGACGTCAACCAGCTCTGCCGTGCTAAGGGAAAACGCCGTATGAGCTTTCGAATGTTGCCAAATTGCCTCTTAGGAAATACTTATTTTTGAGAAACTTTATTAATCTTTTACGTTGAAAATTTCAGGCACTTTAGCTCAAATAATGAGCGAGACCCTCCGAAAAATTCGCAGAAAAATATTTTAAAATCTTCCCGAAACTTCGCGATTTATCGAAGGAAATTTGACAATGCCTAAAGGCTCATATGGCGTTTTTCCTAAGAAATGACCCCGTCCCTGTTCGCGTATGCCACGTCCCCCCTGCGTTTGGGACAACTTCCATACGACTTGCATGTATTTCGTCATTGTCTTTGCATCTCTTCTCGACCGCCGTGACTTCTCTCCTCATCTACGTAAGCGTAAGGGGAAAGTTTCAAGGAATGGTTTCAGAGACCTCCTCGAGCAACTAAAGTACCGACATGTTCGCTTTTTGACCCTCCGTCCTAGAGGTTTTTCGCGATTTTCGGGCACCCAATAGTATACTGTGACATAAATCATGCTCCGAGGGATTTTTCACCTATACTTAAAAACACCGCAGTAAAGATTTTAACATCACCATAGGTATTCTCCTTTACATCGAATTGGATTTAAAAAATATCAATGACAACCTATTTCAGTGCTACCATGGAGAGTGAATCCTTTTGAATCGTTCTTGGTGACATAAAACTAATATCGTCCACGTGACCAGGAATATACCCGGAGGGTATAGACTAGGCCTAGTGATTTTCCAATGATTAAATGTAAGAATACGTACATCTGTGACTTAATCATCACACTTAACTTCAAAGGCTTGCTGGAAACAGCATTGAAACTGATTCCTCAGTTCACTGTTTAGAGTGTAATTCAGAGCATTGACACCCCCACCAGACCGAGATTCAGTTTGATTTTGAGGATAGCTAATGTTTTTTTTTTTTTTTTTTTTTTTTTTTTTTTTTTTCCGGATTTCAAGTTTCAAGATCTCATAAATTTGCAGTCTTTTCCATAAACTTCCCCATAAAAGCTCCCTGATTCTCACGACCAGGTGAAATTCCCTAGGTAACAAGTCTCAGTTTCCCAGACTTGTGGAGACCATGTCTTTGTAGCGCATCTACGGTGGATTTTCGAGTTTCATTTCCTTGCAGTGAAGGAACACATAATTAAACAGTGCACTCCTTTTAACATTTTCCCCAGATGAAAACCACCATGTGGCAACAGTTTACTACACGCGATGACATACGGCTTTCACCCAATGATCCTTGCTGGCCTGATGATTGTCATTATTGTTTTTGATAGCTGAAGGCCACCACCCACGACAAATTTGCAATGCAGTGACATGAGGAACTCTTACTCTCAGGATGAGTAATTCTATCATGACAGAATAAGTACAGCTCATCGCCTCATATAGGAATGGGCACACAGTTCAGTATTCAGAGGTTGTATTGCAATCAATATTTGCGGGTTAAAATAGGCAAGGGATCAGATACAAAACTTCTGCCCTGTTCCTGCAAGTAGCGGAGTATAAGTAAATACTGTAGAGTCTGTATCAATGCTTGTTTAAGGATCTGATAGCAATTTCCACAGAAATAATGACATCTTCAGGATAAAACTCTTACTATATTTTCACTGAACTTGCTGATAAAAACATAACGCAGCACCACGTAAATTGAAAACTAGATTTTTCAATACGAGGGCCTTGTACAATCTGAAGATTGTTGAGGGGGGTTAAGGATTGTTTTCCTGAGCTGACTAACTTATTCCGTTGGCGTCTTAGAAGGAAAGGCACTGAGCGAGGATGAAAATATGTATTCTCCCTGTCGCACCACGCAACTACTAACAGTTGTAATTTCAGCAGCTTGATTCTGTGACTCGTACTACATACTACTTGGCTGAATAAAGAGCAGAGTTGTCTACGGCGAGGGTATGCAGTCAACAAGAGAGCAAAATATCAAAGTTACGAGTGGCAGAGTCAGGCTACTGGTGGACGATTATGTAAAGTTACAAATACTCACCTCGGATTGGGAATGGCTTCGTTTGGATGGTGTCGGAGGTTGGAGGGATATGTCTTTTCGTCTCCGGCGACATAGCATAATCCTCTTTATTGCATAACCTCACACTACCTACGTTATTATAATCACACACATGTTCAAATGAACTGAGCAATGCCATAACACAACTGACAGCGAAATGTTAAACACAACTGCGCATTATGAATTCATATACGATCACTGTGGAGTAATTCAGTAAATGCCAGGGGTACTTAACGGAAATTGCACGGTTTTTTTGCGGTGATCTGATAAGCGCGACGCACGAAGAGTGATGACGATCTGGTTGTCGAACGATTTTAGTAAAGACTGCAGTCAAAGGACAACACAGGAACGGCACGAAAGGATGAAGGCATTATCTTAAAAACAATACAACGACGGATTCGAACGATAGCTACTGGCGAGAACAAGAGATATGGAGATATGTACATTGACATTGACATGAACTCTCACGTTGCACGGCTGCACACTTTGCAACAGGGCGATAACAACAATTGGAAAGCGGTAAGGTGACCTCGTGATAGTGAATTGCGTGGCAGCCACCTTCAGATCCAGTCGTGACGTAGGATACACACGGGCCTATTAGCCAATGAAAATGAAGCTCCAGAAAGGAGCAGACACTGCTTCACGCACGCCAATGTGACCCAACTTCGTCACAGTTCTCATTACACGTTAGATGGTTAGATCCGTGTTTGCTTATCATGACATGGAAATGTGCTGTGCATATCTTTGCTTACCGAAACGGAACTTTTCAGTTTTTCGGAACTCTTCTCAGAATCTTCGAGGTTGCCAACAAAGTCTGATACTTTTATGTGATTTTTCTAGGCTCCCTATCTAGTTTCTTCCATTTCCACACTGCTTTTCTCCAGTTTTTCCTCTGAGTTTTTCTGACTGCTTCGAGCGATTTTCCGGTTGGCTCATTCGATGGCTTTGGACCAATCGCAACACTTGACCTTGATCGAAGCCGAGCTTCTAGTTGGTGGAGAGGGTATCGTGGCAAAAACGGGACAACTTTGAAATAAAGGTGCGAAAATGATTGAAAAGAGCCGACTTTGTTTCCAAAACGTCAACAGATTTCTTTGAAATCGCAGTGCCTATTCTTCAAGTACCTGTAACTAGCAACTGGATTGCATTTTGCAAAAAGGAACCAGGAGCATTGCAATGTTGCTAAGATTGTACAATTTCATGTATTGTAATTTAACTATTGACATCCTGAGAAAAATAAAAAATATAAAATTTACATGGTAATTTTGTCTTATATTTACAGTTTTTAGCGAGTATAATAGATGCTGTTTATAGATAATCAGGTTTTTCTTCCAAGACAGTAGAAGTTGCACAATCTTCGCAACATTGAAATGCTCCTGGTTCCTTTTTGCAAAATGCAATCCAACTGCAACTGTCTATACCTACTTTTGAGGTAAAAATAAATATCGACGGTGAAACTACCAAACCACGTATCTCGGTTGCGGTGTTTAAAAATCTACGCTCACATTTTATTTTTTTAAAGTAGACCAAATCAATATCATTTCTTGAAATTTTCACAGAATTTTCTCCGCACAAAGAGGAAAAATCACAGAAATTTTCAAGACTGGACGTTCAGTAGTTATTCATTTAAAAAATAAAGTATGACAGGAAGTCTGCGACGTCGCAAACCGAGATACGTGGTTTAGTAGTTTCACCGTCGATATGTAATATGATAACAATTCCAATTTTTCTTTGTATTTTCAGATGCTTTAGATCAAATTACGAGCAAAATTCTCTAAAAAATCTGGAGAGCAATGTTTACCACTTATAGTTAGTCCGTAAATTTTTAATTTATCTATGGAAATTTGGCAACGTCTGAGGGCTCTTATGGCGTTTTTTCTTAGCAAAGAAGGAGTCGCTCTTGGCTTGGTAAGATATAATATTTCCAGACCTTAAAGGCTGCTATTTGCTCATGTTGACATCTATTTGACTGAGGCAACTTGTTCGAATATATTTTTAACGTCTGTGATGAGAGAGTTAAATTCCTTTAATAGGAGACAGTTCTGGAGCGATATAATGCTGCGCATACTTTCAAGCTAATGATAGGTACATCAAACTCCTCCTCATCTGACTGGCTGATTCAACACCAGAAAATTTTTCTGGCACTTTATGAGCAGGAGGAATAAAAGGAGGAAGCAAATCATGAGAAAAATGTGGTTTATTAAAATAATTACACATAAAGATACGAGAGAAATTCATTCATGATAAAAAATGGAGAAAGAGAACATGAAGTTTAACCTGTGCACGTAAGTAAAGATACATACAATATTTTCTTTGAATCTAAAACACTGAAATTCACTGAAAGGTCAGATAATAGGGAGAATGCCCGATTTATTTCGACTTAGGTAAGAAAAACAATACTTATTATAATAATAAAGGGTGTAGAGAAATCAACACAAAGACAAATGTTATACAAAAATGAGAGTTGGAAAAACCACATTTATCTTAGGACTAAATTACATTTGTGTGACAGTCAATATTGATGATTTCACATGTTAATTGCAGTTGGAACGGGGGAAGGGGTCGACAGAAGTTCTTATCTAGGATAAATAATATGCAAGTGATAGCATACAGATAAAGGGATCCTTACAAAGTTCTAACTTTTAAATTTCAAAATTTGAACACACTAAAACAAATAAAATTGCCTACCAAAAATTGGCTTGCAAACAGGTGTTAGTTAAAGTTTAGGGCATGAGAATGATGCGCATGTTAAATACTTTGTCCCTGCAGAGGCACAGAGGTTGTTTGTGCCACATTGTCCCAAAAGCATCTGAATAAAACCACTTGAGCAGGCTTTTGAGTCCGGCAAATTAGGTCCTGTTTGCCAGGTGGCAGCGGTAGCACTTAACTTGAGACTGCACCCCTCAACTTTACATGTTACTTTGATGGGTAAAACACTACTGTGTTGCCCAGTATTCTTTCACTGCAGATTCCACCACTATTTTGCTCACTTAATGTAACTTGCCGTATACCTCAGCGAGTAACTCAGACCCCTTCTAGCTACCCGAATTTTATGAATTTTAGAATTAATTTTTCCTCTTGTTGCTTTTATCAAGACAAATTTGGGGAGATAAGCATGAGCTTCATTCACAAATTACTTTTAAAAGATGCATTGAGAAATTGAATCAACTGACTCATTATTTATAATAGGTAAAATAAGTGGGCGATCCATAGGCAATTCAATGAGAAAACCATTTAACCCTACCTGTTCAACAAAATTATTACAGGATGAAAAATATTGATGCAATACATAAAAGCTAACAAGCCAAAAGTCCAGAAATAAAAACAAAATCCACCATCAGACCAAAACTCAATGAGTAGAGAGAACAAATATCTATACTAAAAAATGTTCAAGCCTAGCTCTAATAATATTTACAACTGCAATGAAACAGTAAAGTTCATTATTGGGTTTGACGAAACATCTGTACAATATTTGCTAAAATATTATTTCTTAATAGGAGAGAGAAGTAGAGAGGAAATTCTGTGCACCTTTAACTAGGGAAAAAATACAGGAGAAATAAAGATGGAATTATTCCAGGACGAAAATTTTAGAAATCTCAGAAATTTAAAAGGTGATGAAAAAATAAAAACTGGCTGGCTCATAGGATGTGAGGATCTCTAGAAAACAAATTGTGGGTTCACTGAAACAAAAAGTACAAATCAAATTAGATTTGCAGTCAAAATTGGGATCAGTTGATTACACTTTTAAAGCTAATATTGGCACTTTCCGGCCAAAGTATCACGTACGCCCTTGATGATCTATTGTAATGTAGAATAACATTCTACAATGCAAGACTTCTCTGGTTTGTAAACAATGATTCAGTTGTCAGAAGTTATAATTTTGTGCTTTTTAAAAGACATAGATGGTCTGTTACTCTGAGTTAAATTTGCTAAATAAATTAAGAAAATAAACAGTTGAGCGCCATGAAATCTCAAAACAGAGTATCACAAGCGTCAAAATGGACACTTAATATGACTTTTCTCTTAGAATTCTATTCAAATCAGATGCTTGGAGTGATTTTGATCGTATACACAAAATTTCTCCTTTGTGTTCTTATAGTATAAAACTTTTAACTAAAAAAAACTATATAAATTTTTTCCGCTTTACACCAGTCTCATGGAGATCGGTGCACAATTGGCGCTTTTGATACTTTGGCCAGAAGGTGATGACATATTGCGGCAAAGGCCACACAAGCCTGGAATAATACTTGTTGCAAGCAACCATCCTACACACACTCTGCACACATCCTAAACATTAGCAACATGATGTGTGAGCCAAACATAGGAGTGGTTCATGAAACTTTATCAAAATTAGGAACTGACTTCTGAGGTTTTTCAGAGGATTTGCAGTTTACAAGATCAAGGACTTTAAAGGTCTTGGCAAAGACTTCTGAGAGATTTTTCAAGGATTTTTAGAGAGAACTGAAGGATAGACTTTATGAAAAATTCTTATACTGTCCGTATCGATTGAGTCAGATAGTTTCATATAGCCTGCCAGCAGCATTTACCTGATGCATTAATTTTTTTAAAAAAATACAGTTGAACCCTGGTTATCAGGAAAAATGGGACCAAGCTCACCCCAGATTAGCGAAAACCCCGGTTGCAGCAAAAGCTACGGAAGTACTGCACACTAACCAAAAAATCACCCAATTTTCGGTTTTGGACCTAGGATGAACTTCATAGTAACTTTCCTCAGTTTCATCAAAATGTGCCAAGAGTCACTGATCTCCAACTGGTGTTGGGATTCTTTAAATATCAGGGAAAAGTTAGGCAATTCAATCATAAGATGATCTTTCAAAAAAATTTGTCATCACACAGATTTGCTGTAGGCCCAGGAACCAAAAGGAGATGCTACTGACTTATTTTAATACCTGTTGCGATGTAGTTGTTTGACCAGGTACGCTGTATTGCGGTCGGAAATGACTGAAGTTAGCATTGGCATAAGCTCCTGGCAATTGAGCTGCTTGGAAACCGACAGGGAATTGGCTGCCAACATCACCTGAAAGGAAGAATAATGGTTAGAACGATTCGTAACAACTGTTCCGAGATGGTCCTTCATACAGAACCCTTGATTTTCTTCTTAAATTAAAGGAGAACACTTACCAGTTTTTACAGTAAGGCCTCGGTTTATCAAATTTCACGGGACCTTAGGCCGAATCCGTTAAATCACGCGAGTGAGTCCCGCTGAAGAGACTGGAGGATCGATCCGTTAAATCATGAAATCCGTTAAATCGTGATCTGATAATTCGAGGTCTTACTGTATTTGATTTGCACACGATTTTAAGCAAAATTAAATTTCCCCCGAATAAACCGAAATAAAATATCAATTTTCATAATAACTGCACACTTGCATGTGATTACTTTTTGTGGAGGGAACTCCGGAGAAAACACATAAATCCTTTTTAACTAATAATACTTGTACTAGTAATGGGTTAAAACTTAAAATTATTTTATGTATAAATAAGTATTTACTGTGTGTAATTAGTGTAAGTAGGATTAAGATTCTATCAAATTTTGCTGATTTACCAACACGGCTTGGACTAGACAATAGAACATTTTGTCATTTTTCATCAATCTAGGACAGGTTATCAAATTAAATTTAGCTGACCGTGAGATAAATCTGATTCATCAAACTAGTTATGCAAAATTTCGACCAATGAATGAGCGTCTTGACCATGCTCGAAAGATGCAGTTCCTTCTCCTCCCCCGCTTGATGCATTTTAATTTGAAGGTCCAACGAGATCATCTGTAGGTATGGAGAACTCTTAGTAGGCACTTTCATACAAGCTTTTCTGTAGGGATTGAATACTTATTTCACAATCCAAATCAAGAGATGCGCTTTGAAAACTTATAAGTAAATACCATTACAATATGCAAATTCAACTTAAACCAGGTTTGATACGATTCTGATTAATGAGTGTATCGTATTTTTAAATACGCATTGAAAGTGTCATAGAAGTGTCGAGTCCTCACTTAAATGTGCAACTGGAAGTAAATTCGCCTTCCCCAAACTACACTATTTCTTATCCCCAGACCATAAAATTCACTTCTAGCCAGCACTCATGTGAACGCACACTTTTTGGATTTGGATCCGACCAGGATTCAAAAAAGGATTAAAGGGAGTTAGGCAAGCGTATGGGCCGTCTTTTTTTGACACATATTGAATTTGTATTCCATAATTTGTATCACGAGTTGCATACTGAAAAAGCTCGTACAAACGCTTCCGTTTTTGAGAAAGGGAGTGATGTCAGCTTCTAAAATTTACATTGTTTCATCCTAAGTATTTTCTTAGCATAACAAAATTTCAACTGATTACCTGGCTGCTGTGAGCTTGTTGGGGTTGTGGGAGTGGATGAAGACGTTGTAGCAGCTAAGCGAGATAAAATTGATCGTTCTGACATCTGAAGCCGTTGAGCAACAGGGGGAATCCTGGCTAACGTAGCAGGTAGCCTACTTACATCTGACTTCATATCTGATAATAATTCTTCCAACTGATTTAACACCTGCGAAACAAAAATAAAAAATTTGAATTAGTCCACACTTTAGTTTCGGGTTCAGACATGGTATGAGCAATTCATTTTGTTACAATGTAAGATCAATTAAGTTCTCCATCATAGCCCAAATTATTAAATATTGAGAATTTAAAATACGATCTGACAATAAGACGTTAAATTTTAAAATGGATCAGTTACTAGTATTGAAAACTCCGGATCTCCTTTACGATTTGAGACCAGGATCACTTCCCTACAAAGAGCCACATTAAGGGGACAAGTAATTTCTTTACAGATGGAACTTTGAACCTCTTCTTCCACAGCATAACATTCACATGTCCTCATATTTTGGTTATTTTTGGATGATTTACTTTGAGACTGAACTAAAGAGGAATACAAACACAAAAACTCGAGGCTTGCAGTTGGTGCAGGGGATGTAGGTTGTCTTGAAGCTCGAAACATGCTTGATTTCCACACACCACATCAAGACTCTGCCTCTAATTATTTTCCCAGAATGGCCTTAGGATTGTTTTGAACTTTCAACTTTCTACCTTGCTTTAATATTGTTTCTGTTTTGTTACATGTTTATGCTTTTACCTACAAATCATAGACTGTAAATCTAAGGGAAGAAAACAGAAAACAGCAAATTCTGAACAAACCTTGTGTAAAACAGCATTTGCAGGTTTATTTCCAGCGAGACTTTCTTTCGACAGATGTTGATGTGACTCAGCAAGACACTCAACCTCTGCAAATCTTGCGTTGAGAGACATGGCAGGATGATTTGGATCTTGCGTCAGATTGAGGTATGCAGCACGACGTAACTGTTCTTCTATCACAAGAGCTTGCTCGAGCAACTAGAAAAATATTTCAAGGGGATAAGTGAGCAATACTACACTGTCTTCTTAAGGAAAAGAATGGTACCTAACAAGAATAGACTTCCTGAGAAAATTGGCTTCTGCGTTACTTCCAACTTAAATGAATGGGTCGTTCTGTGTTGTGGGAAATTTTGAAAAGAATGAGAAGGGAATTTACAAGATCAAAGCGGAATGGAAAAATTTAAGGGACAGTTGTGAGATTTGGTAGCTGAAGAAACGGACCTGGGCTATGCCCAGAACAACAAAGATAGATTTCTAGTAGAGATAAGTAGTTAGAAGTAACTAAGAAGGAAATGACATTTTGATGGAAGTCTTGAGCAAACAGCTTGTCTGGTATGGTCACATCGACAGAATCACTAAAGTTGAGCAGAAAGAGCTAGAAAGGATGGCAAAAGGAAAAAATATTTTTCATCACTATAGGAAATGATCAATCAATGCTACCAGCTACCAGAGGGATTTTTCAGTTTTTTTCGTGCAAACTGGTTCCTCACTCCATTTTTATCATTAGGAGATATCCGAGAAAAACACCGTTATACTTGCATTTGAGTTTAATAATCCAATAAGTTCCAACAGATTTAAATGAATAATACTTACTTTGAACCTTCGAGCTAAAAATTTATTCTTTATTTCAAGGAAGTTTCCTTTCCCTACATCCATTTTGAAGGGTTCGTTAATGATGGCAAATCGAATATCATTTTGAATGTCTTGCCAGCGACCGTAGCCATGGGTAACGATGCCAGCTAGGAGCCAATAGTCATGCCTAAAAAAAATCAGTCAGAGATGCAAGAACATGAGCTACAAAATCAATTTGATAGAGTTAAAACAGATTGATGAGTAAATAATATGCAAGAATCTGATCGGAATCCCCCCCGTTTCTTTGCCTCTGCATTCAAATTATGACAAAACACACTTCTAAGCTTGGTGTGGACACTTTTTCGAAATTCTTGCTATCAGTGTAAACAGATAAAAATTCTTTGCTTGGATGAATCAGGGTTGATTGATTAACATTCAATAAGCAGTCAAAAGAAAATAGATTTCCATTCAGAAATAAAACTAAAGGTATTCAGAAATGAGGTTCATTATTAGATTAGACAAAAATGGAAACATTCCAAAAATTTCTGCCGTGATTCCATGATTACTGAAAACAGGAGTTTGAATGAACAAACAAGATAGGAGGAAGTAAATACAGGGTGTAATATAATCATTTGTCAACCATTCAAAGTGCAGAAAAGCAGGTACTGATGATAGAAAGGGTCAAAGGTCAAATTTTTTCAAAAGATTAACTGGAAAAGAAAAAGTACGAAGCAATAAGAATGGAAAATCATTTGTTTCTAATTTTGAATGGCAAACAACGGAATCATCAGTTGCATTAAAGAGGCAGATAATTTTCACTCAGTACTTAATGATTTTTTTTATCTGAATGGGTAGGATAATATGCTAATTCAGTTTTGTATCTTTTATTATTATCTTTTTCTTTTTTAGATTATTGATGTTAGAACACACTTTGAACCAAAACATGCACAAAAATTTTTAACTTACCGGCGATGCCATATTTCATACTCTCGCCCTGGGACTGCTGCTTTTTCTTCATTCAGCCACAATGTGTGCAATTCCGTGAAACCACCATCAGCAATATTGAACATAAATCTTCGTTTTGTTCGATCTAATTCCTCATCCAGACCAATTCCTGCAGCAGCCATTGCTTTCTCACTTTCTGCTATTCGTTTTTGCTTTTCCTCTTCAGTGAGTGGGGGTAGGCCATCTTTCAGAACTTTCTTTTCCTAAAAAAAAGTATCATAAAGACAATTTAAAAAGGACTTTCTAACAAGAGGAATATGACCTTCCATAAAAGAAATAATCCTCTTCCAATAGACGAATTCGAATATCTCTCCTCTTTTTATAGCTTCAGAATAGAGGTTCTTCTATGTTTGATCACGATTTTTTACTACCTTTCCCTGATTACAAGGACACTAACCAGCACTTGAGTGAATGGAATCTGACTGTCCCACATTCAATAGAATTGGTTTAGTGCTCACAGTTATTCACTCTAATTTTTACTACTACTATAAACCAAAAACTTTTTCAGCAAATCTTACTTTCATGATTCATAATGACAGAGTTACAGCTCGGGTCACAACTCAACGTGTTTTGTAAGGGGAGGAGGGGGTGGCCTACCTCTACTCAGAAACCTCCTCCACCCTTATCACTTGCCTATCTTTTTTGTTCATAGGTATTCCATGGAAAATGAGTATATGACATAAAAAAGGTAAATAATTTTTTTCTTAGCCTGTAGGACAATGGGTACCATAATTCACAGCCTATGACCCATTGTGCAACAGACAGTTTGTCCAAAGATGTATTTCATCAAGACCTACTGCAAGATCTCCTACAATACTCTGTTTCATTCCATTCTCGCCAATCTTTCAAAGCTCTCCATTCAAGAATGTCAGAGCTCATTGCACTTACATTTAGTCTCAAATTAGAACTGAATATGAACATTTCAGCTTAATGGCTACAAACTACTTTATAATATTTGGTTAAAATTAACTATGTCCCTAATTTGAGCTCTTACTTTTTAAAAACTGAGATTTGGATATCAGTTAGTACACAAAAGCATAGTTCCGTAGATACATATGATACTGAAAATATAGATAAAAATTTACAATGACAGATGAAATTTGAGCCCTTAAAACCAGCAAAGAAGTTAGAGAAGTAAACAGATACACATTCATTAGTACTTATAGCAAGCATAGTCAGTGCTCTTGGTGCACCTGTTTGATCCGCAAGGTTGAATAATTAGTTGCATAAAAAATAACATGACGTATTCCTACAGAGAGAGGAGAAAGCAGAACTTACCTCGACAATCTTGACTTCTTGAGGAGGAGCAGCGGACGGCTCTTTCGTTTCTGTTTTGACTACATCTTCTGAGGCTTCTTCAACTTTCTTTTCCTCTTTATCTTTTGTCGGTTCTTCATCTTTTTCTAAAACTACTTCCTTGTCTTCCTTCTTTTCTTCGGATTTCTCAGTTTCTTTCACTGTTTCTTCTTTAACTTCCTCCTCTTTTTTCTCGTCTTCTACTTTCTCTTCCTTCTTCTCCGTTTCATCCACCTCCATTTTTTCCTCCTTGGGTTCGTCTTTGACTTCGGTGGATACTTCAGTAGTAGTAGTTTCAGTGACAGTTTGGGTTACAGTTGTTTCTTCTTTCTCCTAAGATTACAGAATAAGATAAGAATGCATGAGATTAAATATGCACCTATAAACACAACCTATAGCACTATCACATTACAATAATCTCTGGACTTGACGAGATCTTTTCTCTCTAGCTGGAAACATGGACGGCGTCAGGGGCCAGCCTGCTCAACAGTGGGGTGTCCACAACTAGAGCCTTCCCAAAAATTGTCTCTGATCTTAGATGTTCAAAGAATTGATTCAAGATTCCAGTGGTAGCATGTCATGCTCTATGATGCATATCGATTGATCTGTCCATTAATTCGAAGAAAAAAGATTGGTTATCAGGGTATTTGCAAAGCACATCTAAATTCTTCACGTAGCTTCAAATGGAAAAAAAATTGAAAATCAATTATTCACATCTCTTCATGACACTCACAGCAACTTCATTGTATTTTTTTTCTTTTTGACTATGCTTAGACAAATGTAAAACAGCAGGGCAAAATTGCTAGATTACGAAAATTGTGAAGAGTAAAATCTTACTTGGAACAGATTCAAACACATGACCTGGATAGTGGAAAACATTTTTTTTCCCCCTTGAGTCTATGAATAATAAAATTCTCTACCATGACACTTGCTGAGATGTCAAGGACATTGTGACAAACAGATATTGCAACAAATAATTAGAACCAGTTTCTAGCCAGTACACTATCTACCATATCGTTTTGCCGATAACATCCCTTAAGCTATCATACCTTTTGGCTGAACAAGCGCCTGCTTTTTTTGGTTAAAACAACTGAAAGCCAAAGGTGTGGAAAACAGAATGCAAGAATGTACTGACCTCTGTTTTCACCTTTTCAACCGCTGTATCATCAGCCTCTTTCTTGACATCCGACGTAGCTTCATCTTTGCTTTCACCGTCTTCTTTTGGCTTTTCTTTCTCTTCTTCTCCAGTCTCTCCTTGCGACTAAAGCAAAGACAGACATCAACATTAAAAGGAAGAAATGCCATTACTTAATTGGTAACTTGGACACTCATTTTGAAACTTGTGAAAAATAAAAAGGAAAATGTAAGAAAAACAAACAAAATAGGTGCATACAGTTAGGATGCTTGAGGTAATGTGACATAAAAGTTTTATTTTTCTTTTTGTATTCCCATCAGAACAATTTATCAAACGTGAGTCCGACTTTTCACTCTGCTACCAAAGTTACTTGGACACCGAATAAAACATGCTGTATTTTCTATATTCAGGTGATTTCCACGATGGTGTGAAGGGCTGAATATTGTTAATGTAGGCTAAAAAATTAATTGCCAATAAGTATATAACAATTTATAAGACAGTTGTGCCTTCATGAATTGCACTTGGATGTCCCTTTAATTTTATCACGTGAAAAGATTGAGCAAAATAATGCTATCTACATTGAATTTAAAAAACAAAACTCACTGGTTTAGTTTCTTCCTCTGTTACATCCTTTGATGGTTCTGTAGTTTTTGCTGGGGCGCTCTTATCGTCCTCGGTTTTTGCGGCTTCTAATTTAGCGGCTTCAGCTTTGGCAGCTTCAACCTTAGCTGCTTCTGTTGGCTTTCGGATCAATTCTGGAATACTGTAATATCCGTTGATGTGCTCAAATTCCTGAACCTGAAACCAAAAGAATTATTCACGAATAAATAATGAACTGTATGAGGACCATGATTTGAATTGCATTTTGCGCTAATGGACAACTATTTCTGGGTGATTTATAAAATTACCTTATCTACACAGGGAAGCTGATGGTGGCATGTATATTAATTCTAAAATGAGCCCGACGAATAGTAGTTACTAGTTGCAAAATTTAGCGCACTTAACAATAACTTTTTTTATATGAGACTTTGTTGTCAATTGGATTGGGTGATGATCTCATCGTAATCTCTTGATGATCAGAAACTACAGAAGGGTCGCTTAATGCCAATGGGATGCCGCTTTCGATTGTGTCGTTTTCATTCCAGAGTTGTCAAGATTCTTTTTCCTGCCGTCAGCATCTCTAATTTTGAGTCGGAATGAACCCTTGATCTTGGTGCATTCTGATTTTGGCAGGTTTGACTGGACATCTTGAGTTTCGATGATGCTGATTTTTTTTTCTTTGTTCTTTAAATCGATTGATTTCTAATCATAAGGGAAAACTGTGTAATACTGAATTAGTTAGCTTCCACGATTTAATTACTAGTAAATAATCTCAAAAGTAAATGAACGTTTTTAAAAAATGTAAAGTTGACTTGGCACTCAACTGTATGTGAGGGGATACCTGGATTTTTTCCTACACGATGGATTTTTATGTACATATATTTACAGACAATACTGCAGATACCTTAAATTCAAATAAATTGTTTGTGAAAACCAGACCTTTTTTCTAATTAGAGACATAACTCCTATCCTTGTAAGGACATGCTGTCTGCTCAATCCTTCACGAGGTACACCATCTGCAAAGTTTTCAGCATTGTCGGCACCAGGCTCGCATAGATGACGCATGAATAAAGAAACATAAGCCTTGAAATTCTTCTCTGACTTTCCCCGCAAGTCTCTGACAAGCCTAAAAATGAACAAAAATACAATTACGGTTGAGAAAACCTCTATAATAATTGAAGTAAACAAGAATTGATAAAAAAGTTACTAGAATAGTGCAGCAACAGCTTTAAATATCAAATTGATTTCAGTGCATAGTTGGTAGCAAATTATTTTTTTTTTCAATCCCTGATTTTTTCCTGACCGCAAAATTGCTGGATGAAGTTCCCTGATCAAAGCTGCTGAAAGATCGAATTTAAAGCATAATTTTATTATAGGAACACCTTCTTCAGCTCTGTGTTCACTTTTAGCTTGAGTGAGAAGATGATACAAATGTTGAAGTGACAGGCAACAACTTCTCTGCGGAAGTGAAGAGCACTTCAGTGTAGTAGCAACCATTATACCCTGACTCATCTTGTGCAGATCGTTTTAAATAAAACTTTAATTGTACATTGCACCGTTTAAACGAAAAGTATTATAATACAGGTTGACTATACTCGACTTGCCAATTCGAATTAAGCACAATTTAAACCCTAGATAGCATTGCGATGAAAACAACTCCTTTTTAACAGGTAGCCTAGACCCATCACAGGAAAGTGAGCTTAAGTTTCCAAGACTCGTAAAAATTAACAAAGGAAGTAATTGTAACATTAGTTTGACTTCACCAAAAAAGACGAACTTCGAAAACATCTAGGTGACGATGCACAAAATATGAATGCTTATGTCTTTGTTTTTCTTTTCTTTTATTTTTTATGTTTTGTTTTGCCTTGCTACTGAATAATTATTGTACATTTTGGTAAAAATGTGCGTTCTACAAAATAAAATAAAATTAATAAGTCAATAAAATAAAAAATATGAATAAATATTCAATATCTCACGAAAATATCTGAACATACGACAATTTGTTTCAATGATCGCAAAAAAGTTGAATATCAAGGTTTGAGTTCACATCACATATCAGAAAACATTTTCAAACTTGAACATTCTAGATTTTCAAACATTTCCCTAGCCCAAATAGAAAGAAAGAGACTTAAAATTTTGAGTCTTACCACTGTGAATTGAATGCATCTTGGGGAGGCATACCAAACCTCATAATTGCATTAAGGAAGGCTTTACGCTGTCTTGCGTTAAATCCAAGAACCTGCAAAAAAGAAAATCAATGAATGATAGGTGACTTATTTTTCAAGTAAAGAGTAAAAAATGCATATGAGAATGATGAATTAAAATTAAAATACAAGTTTGGAACTTAATATAACATAATGAAAATTATCAAATTCGATTACATAACTTCTCATAAATCTATGCAAAATGGGGCAAAGCTGGTTAACATGGTTGATCTGAGAAAACGGAATGGACTTGAGGAGGGAAAAAAGAATCTTTAAGCATGGTTTTCAAAAGAAGAAAAAACCGAATAAATAAAAAAGGAATAATATACAAAAAGAGAGAAGTATATGTTTTACCTGCATATAAAAGAGCATCAACTGTAAATGTCTTGACTAAATAACACACTAACTACATTCATTGAAGCAAAAGAAGACAACAAACTGAAAAACACCGAGGAGAATTCTGAGCAAAATAAAAGCAAAAGAAAGCAGTAAATAAGTGCACACCAATAATTAGAACAAAGCCAAGTTTAAGACTACACGAGTTTTAATCTTCGGCTCTTGGTCAGTTCTAGTAATGAGGCAAATACAAGCTAATACAACTTGGTTAGTGTGTTTCTTGATGAGCGAGAAAATTATTTCCATTTTATATCAGAGGAATGATGGATTGAAGTATTTGCAATGATTAGAGGTATTCTTATTCATTTTCATAGTTGTTTCCTTTCCCATTTTGAATATTTTTCTCAATTATTGAGGTTTCATTGACATTCGATGCCATACCTCCTAAAATTTTTCAAGGCAAAAATCGAAAGACTGCTCTCATGAATAAGTAAATGATAGGTTCTATTTTTTCTTTTTTTTCCTTCACCCAAGTAAGGGAAAACAGTTTTTCACCTTCAGAAATTCAGTTTCTGTGTTAAAGCTTGGAGTTTTTTCAATTTCCCAAAAGAACAACAGTGTAGATAACATAGTTCCTTGCACCCTAAAGTGCAAAAATATACATGCCTTGATCACTAAAACCGAAAAAATTGGCTGATGACTAGATTGGCCCGTCCATTCTCACATTTAATTCCATTAAAGAATGCTTAGTGTAGCACAGAGCATTCATGAGACATTACTTCTCCACATTCTGACACGCGTCCTTCATAAAACGTTAGCTCCCTGCATTCTGACATGCAGCCCGGTTAGTTCAGTCCCTAGAATAATCGGCTTAAAAACTCAGCGTTAGAGTTTCTTTTCTCACCTTGGACAATGAGAGATTACTCATGAAAGTTTTACATCCAGTGCGTTCAGTCTTCTCTGTTTCCATTAAATCTAACCGATAATGCCTCTGTCATTGCACAAACATTACAGGCAGAGAAAAAATTAAAAACACTTTAAGCACCATCAGATGCTACTGATATTGTGCACCTATTGCTTCTATTAACCACGAACCCAATGACTTAAAAAAGACAATTCTTGAATTGAAAATAAGGCCATAATTAAGAGAAAATTTTCCATTGAAATGCGCACAGAGCAAAAACGTTTAGGATCGTTTACAGTGAGAAAAACCAGGCACAATTGTAGCAAGACCTGATGGCCCTTACCATGGTTTAAATTTTTACTCTTCATACGCTAGGGGAGAAAAGGAACTTAGTCACATCAGTCATTGCCAAATGACTGACTGATATAAGACTGATGACATATACTGATAAAAGACTGATAACATAATTAAGATTTTTGAGAATATTACTTTTTTTTTCAATATAGAATTGTCTATAAATTGAAATTCTAGTTGTTACTATTATCACCATGAGAGTAAATACTGAAGACGGAGTTAAAATTTTGTGGAAAAAAGAAAAGAAGAGAAAAATGAAAAGAAAGCAGTGAAAATAAAATGTTATTAAAATGAAAAAGTGGTGCATTAGAAAAAATAGACGTTGGGTTAACACTAAAACTAACAGGTAACTAAAGTTAAGACATCTATCCTGTCACACTAATAAACAACTAAGTTGCCTGTTACTTCAATTCATCCAAAAAATTACATCTTCATAAACATCAAAATATTCTTAGTTTTACTAAAAATATAAAATAAACAACTATAGATAGAGGGGTCATGACATTAAACTGGAATTAAACACGGGGAAAAACTTCAATCTAATTAGAGCGCCTGAAAAAATCCATAATAGTCTTTTGATTTTTTGGCTTTTGAGGAGCTAATATTCTTTTGGAGAGATCTTTTTTAAGGTCTTTGTGCTGCTTCTTATGTTTATAATTCTGCACGTCCAAGTCTACAAGTTCTGCAAGTCTGATTTGCACGTCCTTGTGATTCATACTTGTATCAGGAGCATTTAGACTGCAAATATTCTCCTGGAACGCATAGTTAAAATTTGCAAGAGAATGCTCTGATCCTTTTCCGGGCAAAAAAAAATTCTGATGATGGTTCTCTTCTGGCTTTTTCTCTAGCAAAGTTTCTAATTTTTTAACTTTAATTTTTCCAATGTTAGATGAAGTGTTGGTTGTTTCCACGACATCCATTAGTGCTCCTGGTTGATGATCATCATTAACAATAAAACTGCTGTTGGAGTTAACTCCGGAGTCAGACAGTGACTCGTTCTTAAAGATTTCCTACATGAATAAAGAAATTAAAAAACTTGTTTTTGGAATGAAAATGAAAAAAAAATGTTGTGGAAAACAAAATCACAATCAGGATACAAAAAAAAGAATTGAGTAGCAGACATAGGGTCAAAGTGATACTAATGCAGGCCATTTCAGATCCAACATGTTTCCACGACACTTAACAGACGATGCAATTTCAGGGAGAGACATGATTTGAAAAAAATATAAATATAAAAATGGCTCAAAAAGAGCCCTTGAAACACCAATATAGCTCACTTTTTCTCTCAACATTTACTTTGTTAACTACTCAATTAAAGGCATTTACCGAAGGGATCCAACCCAAACATTTGGCAAGGGAAATATCGAGGCCACTCTAGCGCTCCCTTTGCACTTTAAACTCATTCTTTGCAAAGCCCTCATAATCCTGATCACTTTCTCTTACTTACCCTAATACTCATGAATTATTGTTACATGCATGGGAGTATGTACAAGGAAGGTCTTCCTCTCCAACACCAGGACACAATAGACCACCGTAGAAAGGTAAAATGGGAATGGAAACTTACTCAGATCAACCAAATTAGTTAATTCAAGTATTATGAAAACAAAGCGAATGTGAAAGGCCGGAAACATCCAGGATATTGAAAATTCTTGAACTTGCACTGAAGCGTGAAATCATTGGCTCTAAACATGCTAATTTTTTCAAAAAATTCATATTTTTGTGGCTACTAAATTGAAAAAATTGAGAAAGTAAACTTGTGAAACCAAAGAAGCGCATTACAGAAAAAGAACTTACCTCGATATTACCGCCTACACGAGCCAGTAATGGAGGAAGAGGTCTATCTCTTTCAGACTTCTGATCTGGGCGACGTTTTGCTCTTCTACCTCCTTCCGCTGAAAACAAAGATCAAGAAATCAGTAACAACCATCACTAAAATAAACCTAGCAAGAT